TGCCTGTGGGTTGGACAGGTCGACGGCTTGTGTGCGTGTGCGTCTGCGTGCGCGCGGATTCAAGTGCGAAGCGGACGCGGGCGCCACAAGGCAGGCAGCTTCAACAATTGAAGGGGCCCTGGGACACACAAATTCGCCGGCCCAACGGGCCAGAGGCGTGCTAAGATCTCCGGTACCTGGTTAACAATAATTCTAGTTCGCGCGCGCGGGGCGGCCCCTGGGGGTTCCCCGGCGAAAAGTACCCCGACCGAAGCCCGGGAACTATTACTCAGAGATGGTTTCCCTCCTGGCTGCGGCCTTCCACGCCCCCCGGAGCGCGCCAAGAGGGCCAAAAGAGGCCCCCAAGACGGTCCAGGAGGGCTCCGAATCACCGAACGATCGGCCCAAGACGCCCAACACGGCGTCAAGACGGCCCAAGAGGCCTCCAAGACGTCCCAAGAGAGCCCCGACCCTTCCCAAGAGAGGCCCAAGAGGCACAAATCAATGATTTTCTGTAGGTTTTTGAAGGTTTTTGGCTTCCTCGCCTTTTCGCCTTTCCGACGCTCCAAGACGGCCCAAGAGGCCCCCAAGACCACCCCAAGACGGCCCAAGAGGCCCCCAAGAGAGCCCCAAGACCTCCCAAGAGGGCCCCAAGACAGCCTAAAAGGCGCCCAAGAGGGCCCCAAGAGGGCCCCAAGAGGGGCCCAAGATGGAGACCACGAGCCGAAAATCCGAGCCGTCCGCTCCAAGATGCCTCCAGGACGCCCCAAGAGGCCCCCAAGAGGCCCCAAGAAGCGCCAAGATGCCCGAAAGAGACCCCAAAAGGCTCCAAAACGGAGCCCCAAGAGGCAAGCCGCGCTCCCCTCAGCAAAAAGCTCTCGGCGAAGTCGCTTACTTGCGCCCCCCTGCTGCTCCATCACTCCCCTCTGGCTCCTCTCTCCGCCTCACCCCCCTCGTACACCCCCTTCCCCCACTGAAGCTGCACACTCCCTCCCCCGCCTCCTCCTTTTTCTTATCCTCCTCCTCCTCCTCCTGCTCCGCTTTCCCCCTCCTTTTCTCGCTAATGCACTGTCGCCCCTCTGCACTGCGACCACCCCCTTTTGCTCCCTTCCTTCCAAGCCCACGCACACTCTCTCTCTCTCTCTATCTTTTCCCTTTCACGTCGAGGGGCATACCTGTCGCAACAGTTACACTGTGTTCATGGCCCCCGCATGAGCGTCCACGAGCAACGAGCCCCCACAAAGGCGCCAGGGACACCCCAGAGCGGCACAACCTAGAAGCCCAGTGGAAACAACGATTCCCCCGACACCTCAGAAGGTCGACATGAAGCTGTTTCGCGGGGGCAGCTTCAACACCACCATCCCGAACGCAACGCCTCAGAAAAAACATGCGCCGACCCCTGCAGCTCCGCACTGCCGACGACCTCTCGCCCAGTCGACCGCGGTGCCTCATCATGGGCCGGCTGAATGAGCGAAGCGATTAAATCAATACACACAAATAACAGGGTTCCCCATATCTTCCCATATTTTCTGGGCTCCTGTATTCCCCCCCGCTTCCCATATTGTCCAATATTTCCTGGGGAACCGAGAATTCACTGTGTCTGTGTGTCTTTCTCGTCCTGAACAATGCACAGAGCCTCTTTGTCCGCGTGGCCCACGTGTGTGTGCGCGTGCCTCGGTGCGCGTGCGCGTGCAGCCGGAAGCTGGGAGCACACGTGGCCAGACCCAACACGTGTGGAGGCTGGGCGCTCGACGCAGGCGCGGAGTCATGGAGGGCTCTGCAATCGAAGGGCCGAGGGATTCAGAGACATGCGGCCACATGTGCATGCAGCTCTCGCCCTGGCTGGCCGATTCCACACCAGGTGATCAGGGGATGGAACATGGACTGGCGTTCGCATGGGAAAGCCCACAGTCGCGCAGCACCCCGCTTCGATTCATGGCGAGTGGGAGAAATCCAATACCATGAAAACGTGGTCAGGGAGGCGAAAGAGGAAGGAGGGACGAAAAGGAAACAGAAGCGAAGACAAAACGGAAGAGGGAGGAGGAGGAGGAAGAGGAGGAGGAATAATAATAATAATCTTTGTGAGCGCTCCTCGGGCCTGATCTCGCCACGGGCCGCGGCAAAGACGGGGCTGGAAACGAGAAAGACAGCGCGGAGGCGGGAGAGCAAGATGTATAGAGAGAGTCCGGCTGTCCGACCAGCCCCCCCCCCCGGAGGATGCCCTTGCCGTCGGCTTCGCTGCCCGATGGGGGCGGCTGGCGGCGCCGGGCTTAGGTCGGGCGTGTCCACTCCAGGCTTCTGGGCGAAAAATTCAGAAAATACTCCAAAAATGTGCTAACAATGCGCAAAAATGGTCCAAGACTCGTCCCCAGACTATTTCTTGACTATTTTGGAATGCTCCCCCTGTAGAGGGGCAGGCCCAACTTGACGCCAGGGGGCCGTGGCCCACCCGGGGCCGAGGCGGCTCCGCTGGAGCCGCCTCGCCGTGTGCCGGTGCTCGCGCGCCTACCCGTTTGGGCAAGCCGTGGTGGCACACAGGGAAAGGGGGCCCTGGGACACAAATAACTGACAGGGCTCCCCACATTTTCCTATATTTTTTCGGGTTGTTCGTCTTCCCCCCCCACTGCCCCTATATTTTCCCATATCTCTTCCTGGGAGGCGACGATGGATGCTGTCTGTGTCTCTTTCCCTCCTGAACAAGCCGGGGGCGTCGGCGTGGCGGCTGCCAGCGAAAGGCAGCCGCAAGCGAGGACGGGCCGGGCAGCGAGTAACCGGCCGCCCAAACTGGCCTGCGGACCCACAGATCCGACGTCGTGATTCTTTCAATACGGGGTCTCCAGAAGTCTCGACCCATTCCCCAGGACCGATTATTCATCCTGAGTCGTTTTTTGACGGTCCTGGGGCCCAGCGAGGGACGCTGGAGGCCGAAAATCGGCCAAAAAAACTACGCCTTGATTTTTTCATTATGTTGGAGGTCTGCGGACCCGTCGCTCAAGGCCAGGGCGGAGCGGCCAGGATATCCTCGCAGCAGGAGGGTCGCTGCTCGCGCCTGCCTGCCTCGCCAGCCGCTGAGGCTCGAGGCCGATCGTGCGGCAAGAGTTCTCTTCCACCCCTCCGTCCCGGCCTCTGGCTGGGACCCCAGACCCCCTCGAGGTATGAAACCATCGCGACGAGCGGTGTTTCATGACTTTTGGCCTCTGGGGGCCCTTGCCGGCCCTCGGGGCCGTCAAAGAACGACTCGGGACGAAAAACCGGTCCCGGGGAATGTCCAGTCCGCGGGGGGTCGACGTCATGCGAAAATCAGGGCGTCGGGGGTCCGGGGCACGAGGCCGATCGCGCGGCTAAAGAGGTCTCTTCCGCCCCTCCGCCGCGGCCTCTGGCCGGGACGGGAAGGGGGCCCGCGAGGGCGCCGGGCATCCGGACCCGGGACCGCCGGCGCCGCGACGCTCGGAGGAGGGCGCGGCGAGCTGTTGCTTCGTGTGTCGCTGCTGCTGCTGCTGCTGCTACTCCTCCTCCTCCTCCTCCTCCTCCTCCTCCTCCTCCTCCTCCTCCTCCTCCTCCTCCTCCTCCTCCTCCTCCTCCTCCTCACCCCCACTTCATCCTCCTCCTCCTCCGCCTCCTCCTCCTTCGCCTCCTCCTCCTCGACGGTAGCAGAGGAACACACAATGGTCTTTCCCCCGGCGCAGGCAAGGACCCCGTGGGCAACCGCCTCAGCAAGCAGGAGTCGCCGAGGTGCGCTGGTCACTGCTGGGGGATCAGCAGGCCGGACATGCTAGCGGCCGTCGCGGACAAGTAGGAGGCGGCAGGCAGGAGGGAGAGGAGGAGGAGGAGGAGGAGGAGGAGGAGGAGGAGGAGGAGGAGGAGGAAGAGGAGTAAGAAGAGAAGGTGGCGGGAATCATGAGGCGGCGCGAGGAGGGGGAGGAGGTGGCGCGAGGAGGAGGGGCAGGAGGGACCAGTGAAAATCCAAGACGCGTCAACGATTATGCAATGAACCCTCCCTCCAAATTCCCTCTTCATAGGTTCCAACAAGTATTTCATTGCGGGAGGGGCCCATGAGAAGCTAATCGTCTGAAAATCCTCAATCTTGACATAAATAATGATCCTGGGACTGCAGCGCTGCGAATCATCGTGACTGCTGCGTCCTGACGATAATGAATCGTGCTAGAACGCTGCTTCCGGCTCTTCAGCACCACGGATCAAAGTGACTGCTCCGTCGTCGCAATCCTAAATCGCGCCAGGACGCCATTCCTGTGACTTCCACCGCACGAGACGAATGTGCGCCGCGCTGAGGCGACACCCACGGTTTGAAAACAAGCCGCCCTTCACCAGTGAACATATTACAAACTTTCAGGGCGAAAGGCGATGCGCAAATGTGAGAACAACACTGTGAGAAAAGCCCGCCCCCCCATCCGTGAAACCGCTGGAGCCGTGTAAGACGGATGCTCGTGGCGCAAAAGCAAGACGACTATTGTGCAAACCACCCGCCCTCCATCCTTGCGGCTGCAAACTTCGAAGACGAATGCACGCGGCGCGAAAACAAGAACGCCATGTTGAAAGCCACCCGTCCTCCATCCATGAAGCGGTTGCAAACTTTGAAGACGAAGGTGCACAGCGCTGACGCGAGAATGCCATTTTGAAAGCCACCCGCCCTCCATACTTGAAGCGGCTGCAAAGGTTGAAGACGAATGCGCGCGGCGATGAAGCGAGAACACCGAGTTGAAAATGACCCGCACCTGCCCTCCACCAGTCCAACTTTTGCAACTTCCAGGCTTCAGGATCCGACCTGGCGAGAAATTCTCAGGTGAAGCGCCCGGCCCCAGGAGGAGCGACGTGGAGGAGCTGTCTGTAAGAGAAGGGGTGGCGGAGGAGGGAGCGGAGGGCGACGACGACGGATCAGAAGAAGATGAGGTGGATGGAAGTAGAGGAGCTGGCCAAGGAGGCGCAGGGAGGGGAGGCCGAGAGGGAGGCGGAGGAGGAGGCGGAGGCGGGAGGGAGGCCGTGCGAGAAGGGGGCGGCGAAGCCTTGCTGCCCGAGCCCCGCGCGTCCGGCGCGGACGTCGGGGCCGCCGCGACGTGCTCCCTCCACCAGCGGCTTCGCAGGGGGAGGGAGGGGGCAGGAGAAGGAACATGGCGGTGACGGTGCAGCAGCACAGGAGCAAGACGAGGAAGGAGGAGGAGGAGAGGAAGAAGAAGACTCGGCATCGCGTGTGGTCCGTGCCGTGCTCTGCTGGCGCGTGCACGCGAGCGCGCGAGCCCCACCTCGAGCGATGGGGGAAGGGAGGGAAGGGTGTCGGGCCTCTCTCCAGGCGTGGCTGGCCCAGGTGGGCCCCGCCGGCCCGCCCTAGGGAGGCCGGGGGCCCCGCCGGGGCCCCCCTCTCCCCGACGCGTGCGCACGCCACCTGCCGCCGGCAGCTCCGCCTGCCTCCCTCCCTCCTCTCTGCATGCCGAGCCCGCCGGTCGGTCGTCCCGTCGTCCAATCTCTCGCTCGCGCTCTCTCTCTCTCTCTCTCTCTCTCTCTCTCTCTCTCCTCTCTCTCTGTCTCTTTGTGCACCGCTCGGTTTTACCTTCGCCCCTCCCCCCGGGGGCTGCCACCGGGAGGGTTTTCGAGGGCAGCTCCTGACAAGGACCAGGTGTCCGGTCCTGAATCCTGAGGCGGAGAGGGAGGGCGAGCACGAGGTGGGGAGGAGGAGGAGGAGGAGGAGGAGGAGGAGGAGGACGAAGAGGGAGGGAGGAAGACGACAACGCGGAGAAGGCGGAGGGTGGGAGGAATGAGCGCCAGTTCGGTATCTCATGATACTCAACGCCGAGCTGCAAGCTGCGGCCACCTGTAGGGCCAGGCATCGTTAGGCGGAGGAGGAGGAGGCAGAGGAGGAGGAGGAGGAGGAGGAGGAAGAGGAGGAAGAGGAGGACGAGGACGAGGAGAAAGAGGTGGAGGAGTGAGAGGAGGATGGACAGGAGGAGGAAGAGGAGGAGGAGGATGGAGAGGAGGAGGAGGAGGAGGAGGAGGAGGAGAAGGAGGAAGAGGATAATGATGATGAGGAGGAGCAGCAGCATTAGCATGACGAGGAGGGGGCGGAGGAGGTAGAGGGAGGAGGGGGCGTGTTCTGCGGCCAGTGGCGTCATGCGCTCTGGGGCAGGGAGGCGCGCCCGGTGGTCCTGCTGGCGGGCCCGCCGGCTAGTCTCGCGGGCAGCTCTGGGACGGCGGGCGGAGTAGAGGTGGTGGGCTGTGCCACTGCGGAGGTGCGCACGGGCGACTGCATTCACAATCAGCGATGCTGACGGAGTTCAACCACGCACGACCCTGGGACTAGAGGTGGCCAGGGCCGAGGGACGCAAGGTGCCCTTGCCAGAAGGGCCCATCCTCAACGCCGACCTTGGCTTTCCAGCGGTTGGCCGAAACCCTACGTACATTCCAACCGCTGCTGGACCGTACTTGCGCCATGATCGTGTCGCAGACGGGGGAGACGGCACCATCTACGTATTGCGGATTTGGGGCTCGGCCTCCCCTGGCTCAGAGCGCAATTCGGGAAGCGGGTTCTGACAGCGGCTCTTCTGGAGGTGAACTACTTGCGTGGTACAGGAATGGGTGTGCAGCTGCAGCTAGGCGCCTTCATGAGGCCATGCACTCCGCTGCGAACGTCATGTTGGGACTCCACCCCAGCGCGTCCATGGGCACTGTGGGCTATGTGCGTTGCTTCTCCGAGTTGCACTTCTTCACGCGCGTGTCAGCGACCCTGACCCCAAAGATTGTAACGTAGCCAGCGTGCATCGTGCTGCTCCCCGCTGACGCGGTGGTCCGCCTTGCGTGCTTGGGTGCAACGGCCGTTAGAGGCGAGACGTGGTGCAATCGCGCGGACGCTAATCATTGCAAGGAGCTGCGACACAAACCCGCTGCATTTGGCGCATGACCTGCCATCTGCAAAACAGGGTGACTGGGTAAGTTGCGCGCAGTGGTGGCGCAGCGGAATCGCGCCGTGGTCGTACTGGCGGCCCTGCTGGCGGAGGGCGGCGCCCTGCATGCCATCCTGCTCCCGGCACGGCAGCCGCCCCCCCAATGCCTGCACTGGGCGCCGTGGAGCCGGCGCATGTCGTTCCGCGCGCGCGGATGATTGCGAAGGCGGCAGGCTGCATTCCGCCAGTCGTGTGGGGTCGTGGTGGCCATGGGCCCGCCCTCGTTCCCTGGCGCCCGTGCGGGAAGGGCGGAGCCGCGCTGGCTCGCTTGCTGGAGACCTGCGCGGGCCAGCGGGGGCAGCGCCATGAGCTGCCCGGTGGGTGCGATGCCGCATCCACCGGTCAGGTGCTACTAGGGGTGCGCACGGTGGACGCCATGCTCCCAAGGCTCGTTTGCTCTGGCCAGGCCTGCGACATCATAGTATGACATCATCGTCAACGACATCATAGTATGATGCGCAAAATGCCCTGGGGGCCTGAGGCCCTGTCTTGCCCCCCCTCCTGGGCCCCTGCATTGCTGCTTGCTGCCCTGCTGTGCCTTGCCTCCTCCTGCCTCCTCCCGTGCTGTGCTGCGCCTGCGCTGCTCTCTGCTGCCGAGCTGCTGCTTGCTGGCCGCGTTGCCGCGGGTGCTTGCGGCCGGGCCTCCAGGGTGCAGTTCTACGGGGCCTGCCCCCTGCCCCCTGGCGGCGCCACCTCATGCATTCCTGTTCCGCCGCCCAGGGGGTGGCCCGGGCTGCTTTCCCTCCTGGCCTCCCTGCATCCTCCCCTTCCTCGAAGCCCCTGGCCTTTGCTTCCTCCCCTCTGGCCCCTCTCTCCTCCTCCTCCTCCTCCTCCTCCTCCTCCTCTTCTTCTTCTTCTTCTTCTTCTTCCTCCTCCTCCTCCTCCTCCTCCTCCTCCTCCTCCTCCTCCTCCTCCTCCTCCTCCTCCTCCTCCTCCTCCTCCTCCTCCTCCTCCTCCTCCTCCTCCTCCTCCTCCTCCTCCTCCTCCTCCCTCCTCCTCCTCCCTCCTCCTCCTCCTCCTCCTCCTCCTCCTCCTCCTCCTCTCCTCCTCCTCCTCCTCCTCACTCCTCCTCCTCCTCCTCCTCCTCCTCCTCCTCCTCCTCCTCCTTCCTCCTCCCTCCTCCTCCTCCTCCTCCTCCTCCTCCTCCTCCTCCTCCTCCTCCTCCTCCTCCTCCTCCTCCACCCTCCTCCTCCTCCTCCTCCTCCTCCTCCCTCCTCCTCCTCCTCCTCCTCCTCCTCCTCCTCCTCCTCCTCCTCCTCCTCCTCCTCCTCCTCCCTCCTCCTCCTCCTCCTCCTCCTCCTCCTCCTCCTCCTCCTCCTCCTCCTAGGCTCCTAGGCTCCTAGGCTCCTACAGGCCTCCCCAACGGCCCCGAGGGCCCCACGAGTCCTCGGCAGAGAGGGCCCCAGGTTGGGGCAAGAGCGCCGCAGTTGACCCGCGTCCAATGTCGCATCGGTTGCGGCCCCGCTGCGGTTCCACCTTGTGCGGCCGCTCCGCGCGCGCCCTCTCCGCGCGCGCAGGACGCAGGGGAGAGGGCGCAATCCCGACGCGGTTGCTCCAGCGCTGAAGCGGCCTGCACGCGTCTGACCTTCCTGCCTTCGCGACGCTCGAACACCGCGGCCCCCGCTTGAACGCGTCGGGCGCGTTCGGTGGAGAAAGAACCGCGAAACGCGCTTCACAGGATGGGCGGCCGTAGCTGCGTAACAGCGTCGCGCAACCCAACGCGCCCCGTCACTCCTTGACGCCCTCGCAGCGCTCGAACGCACCTCGGATCCCGCTCGAACGCGGCGGGCGCCCTCGGCGGAGGGAGAACTGCGACACACACGTCACAGGATGAACGGCAGCAGGTAGCAGCTAACAGCGACTCACAACCCGACGCGCCCCGTGGCTTCTCGACCCCCTCAACCCCGTGCATGTAATCCACGGGTCCACGCTAGTAGATTGACATCCGCCACCCTGCCCCTGACACGAAGTGGGAATCCACCAAGTCTCACATGCTGCTGCTGCAGCCAGGATCGTAATGGTTGAGGGCCCCGACGCCAAATTTCCCGGGCGCTTCCGGGCGCCCTTGGGCGCTCGTGGTGTGTTCCGCATGGGCCCCCGGGACGGTTGCAACGCCCCAAGCGACCCAGAGAAGTTCTCGGAGCCCCCAACCAAGCGCCCAAGACTGTCAATGAGCGCCTCTGGACGCCCCAAGAGGCCTTCAAGACGCTCCAAGAGGCCCCCAGGGGAGCCCCAAAATGCAAACATCTTCGCATCCCCGTGGGAAAATATAGACTGTTAGCATCTTCGCCTCTAGGGCTTTCACAACGTCCAAGACGGCCCCAGAGGCCCCCAAGATCGCCCCGAGACGGCCAAAGAGGCCCCCAAGAGGGCTCCAAGACCGCCCAAGAGAGACGTCTCAAGAAGCCCCCAGGACGACCCCAGGACGGCCCAAGAGGAGGCCCACAGTAAGAACCCGAACGGACATTTCGAGCCTTCGGCCCCAAGACGCCCCCAGGAGGCCTCAAGAAGCCCCCAAGAGGCCCGCAAGAGGCCCCCACGAGGCCACCAAGAGGGCCCCAAGAGGCTCCCAAGATGCGCAACAACTGCTTCCCACATCGGCCCTCGAGAGCGATCCGAAAAGACCCCGAGAAGCATCCCTGAGGACTCTGACCCACAAGCCAAGCATGGTGGCGGGATGGGCCGAAGGCCATTCGATCCGCCGCCCCCTTTGGTTTTGCTTTGGGGTGCCCGGCGTGCTAGACCCTACCGCTTTTGATTCTAGTTCTTTTTCCCAAAGAACTCTCCCCTGAGGCTGCGGCGCGTTCCGCCAGCCACGCGGAAGAGGTGGCTGCACACATTTTCCTGGTCCATATGGCTCCCAGATGGCTCAAGACGGCCTCGAAGACGGCCAAGATGGAATCCAAGTTCGCCCAAGATAGTCATAAATGGCCTCGAAGACGGCCCAAGAGAGTTCAAGATGCCTCCAAGTTCGCCCAAGGGGCCTCCAAGACGGCCCAAGACGGCCTCAAGATGACGGCAGACAGCCCAAGAGCCCCCAATAGGCCTCCACGACGGCCCAAGAGGCCTTCAATCTGGCTGTAAAGAAAGCCTGACGAGGCCCTCCTCATTGATTTTTCTGCGGTCGCTGCAGACTTTTGGCATTTCCGTCTGTTCGACCTTCCGACGGCCCGAGCGGGCCCAAGAGCCCGCAAAGATCGGCCCAAGATCGCCCAAGAGGCTTCGAAGATGGCCCTAGAGCAGCCCAAGAGGCCCCCAAGACAGCCCAAGAGACATCCAAGACGCCCAAGATGGCCTCCAAGTCGGCCCAGGAACACCCCAAGAGGGCCCCAAGTCGGCCCAGAGAGGCCCCAGGACGGTTTCCGACAGCGCTAGACGGGCCAGGAGCCCACCAAGACGGCCCAAGAAGCCCCCAACTGGTCCCCCAGACGGCCCAAGGGGCCTCCAATTAGGTCGCGAGGAAGGCCCGAAGAGGCCACAATCATTGGTGTTCCTGAGGTTGTCGCAGGGTCTGGGTAGTTGCTTCTTTTCGGCCTCCTGACGGCCCGAAACGGGCCAAACAAGAGCCCCCACAGGTCGCCGCAAGATTGCCCAAGAGGCTTCCAAGATAGCCCCAGGCCCGCCCAAGAGGCCCCCAAGACGGCTACATGAGGGCCCCACGACGGCCCAAGAGGCCTCCAAGACACTCAAGATGGCCTCCAAGACGGCCCTGGAGCACCCCAAGAGTGGCCCCAGTCGGCCCAGAGAGGCCCCTAAGACGGCTTCCGACGGCGTCAGGAATGCCCCTAAGACGGTCAAAGCAGCCCCCGAGAGCCCCCAAAGGCCCTCAAGAGGCTAAAGGAGGCCCCCAAGATGCCTCCGAGAGGCTTCCAGGAATCTCCCAGGAGGCCCCAAGAGTGCACCCAGAGGCTCCCAAGATACCTCCTCCTCCTCCTCCTCCTCCTCCTCCTCCTCCTCCTTCCCCTCCCCCTCCTCCTCCTCCTCCTCCTCCTCCTCCTCCTCCTCATGAAATGTTCCCAACTGTTCCCCGAAAGGTTTTCACAACAGCTGGGGGGAACACATGGTCCGATAGCTTGGCAGCGCTCTTGCCACACCGCTCGGCCACATGGGCGATTCCAACCGGCTGGGAGGGGGCGGTGATTCGCCGTAGGTGGCTTCGATCAGTGTATAGATTTGCACATAAGTGTTTGAATACATACATATATATAGTCGATACATAGACACCTATATTGATACTAATATGCAAATACTGGCCCAGGCGCTTACTCCACTCGCAAGATTATGGTTCTACCGAGAGGCGAGCGCGAGCGCACGACACTGGGGCCGCCACTCAGCGAGATTCAGACTGCAATGCGCAAGTGGGGGGCGGGAGCGAGCTTGCGAAGCATACGATGCAGCAGCGCGCTCGTCCGAACGCGGGCAGCGTCGCGCACACTCAAGGTAGGGTTGGTGGGAGCATCGAGGCTTACGGAGCACGCGACCCGACGAGGATCGACGACGACGACGACGACGACGTCGACTCTCGACGACCCCTCCAGAATCGATCCCCTTCTCTCGGCTACACGCAAGAGGAGGAGGGGGAGGAGGAGGAGGAGGAGGAGGAGGAGGAGGAGGAGGAGGAGGAGGAGGAGGAGGAGGAGGAGGACCCTGGACCCTGGACCCTGGGCAAGAGCGACCTCGGGTGCGCGACGGTCGGGGGGCCGCGGGGAGGCCGACCCGCAGCGCGCAAAGACCGCTGCTGTCGCGCCGCATGCAGCCATAGAGGGGCCCCTCCTCTGCCTCCTTCCTCTTCCTCCTCCTCCTCCTCCTCCTGCCCCTTTTCCACGTTCTGCCTCCTCCTTCTCCTCCTCCTCCTCCTCCTTCTCCTCCGTCTCCTCCTCCTCCTCCTCCTCTTCCTCCTCCTCTGTTCCTTCTCCTTATGGATCACTCCTCCCTGTCGCACCCCGAGGCCAGTTTTTAGGGCGGGCCGGTCGTTTCGCCTGAGACTATGTTCACCATTTCTGGCTCTGAAGCTGAAAACGTGAAAAGTGTGCCCGCATCTCAGGCCACTCCAGCGAAATGTCGCCCTCCCAGAGAGTAACCAACCACAGCAAAAGCGCATCGGCTCTTGAAGCAAGAAGGCGCTTGGAATAGGTTGGGATCTGGGAATCCAGAAGCACCTGCTTTCAACGACCGACGTGCACGGAACATGCGTCCCGACGAGGATCGACGACGACGACGACGTCGACGCTCGACGATCCCTTCAGAATCGACCACCTTGTCCTTGGGCGCGAAGCATGGGAGGGCGATTAAATGGAGGGGGGAGAAGGGTGCCCTTTTCGGGCCCTGAAGGGGCCCGAGTCGGGCCCTCCTGGGCCCAACAGGGCCCCTCCCTTCAGGGACCCTGGAAGGACCCCTTTTCTGCAGCCCTCGCTGCCGCCCCATTTATCGCCCCCCCTCATTACGCGCCCAGGTCACTCTTACTTGTTGTCGACCCTTCTCGGCCCTAAGGGCCCTTTGGGGCACTGGGGCCCCGAAGTGCCCCTTCAGGGGCCCTAAAAGGCCCCTTTTCGGCAACCCTCGATGCCCCTCCCATGTAGCGCCCCCCCCCCCATTACGCGCCCAGGTCCCTCGTACGTGTAGTCGGCCCTTCTCCTCCTCCTCCTCCTCCTCGTCCTCCTCCTCTTCTTCCTCCTCCTCCTCCTCCTCCTCCAGCTCGCCCTCCTCCTCCTCCTCCTCCTCCTCCTCCTCCTCCTCCTCCTCCTCCTCCTCCTCCTCCTCCTCCTCCTCCTCCTCCTCCTCCTCCTCCTCTCCTCCTCCACGTCCTCCTCCACCTCATCCTCTTTCTCCTCCTCCTACTCGCCCTCCTCCTCCTCCTCTTCTTCCTCCTTCTCCTCCTCCTCCTCCTCCTCCTCGTCCCCTCCTCCTCCCACTCTTCCTCCTCGTCCTCCTCCTCCTCCTCATCCTCTTTCTCCTTCTCCTGCGCAACCTCCTTTTTGTCCTCCTCTCTTTCTCTTCCTCCTCCTCCTCCTCCTCCTCCTCCTCCTCCTCCTCCCTCCCCCCTCCTCCTCCTCCTCCTCCTCCTCCTCCTCCTCCTCCTCCTCCTCCTCCTCCTCCTCCATTTCCTCCTCCTCCTCCCCTTCCTGCTCGTTCTCGTCCTCCTCCTACTCCTTCCTCTCCTTCTCTTCCTCGTCCTCCTCCATTCCGATTCCTACTGACTAACTCCTCCCTGTCGCACACCGAGGCCAGCTTTTTGGGCGGTCCGGGCGTTTCGTTTGAGACTTCGTCACCATTAATAACCACGGACCTTAAGCAAATGACAGCATCGTCACGGATTGAGGGCGGGTGGCTTTCAAACCGTGATCCTCGCCTCCGCGCCGCGCACACTCGGTTCCAACAGTTGCAAGGGCTCCGCGGATCGAGGGCGTGGTTTTCAACATGTGGTTCTCGCCTGAGCGCCGCGCACATTCGTTTCAACAGAATGAACAAAATCACTGGTCGAGGGCGGCTCCTTTTCAAAATGTGGTTCTCGCCTGAGCGCCGCGCACAGTCGTATGAACATTTTGCAGGAGCTCCGCGGAGTGACGCCGGTTCCTTTTCAACATGCGGCTCTCGCCTTAGCGCCGCGCCCATTCGTTTTCTAGATGCAAGAGTTTCACGGATTCCATTGATCAGCGTACAAGAGATGGTGTTTTCAAAGGATTCAGGATTATGAGGGTGCTACAGTTACGTTGATTCGCGGTGTTGAAGTCTCAGGAATGGCGTTCTGGCGCGATTCAGGATCGCGAAGACGCAACAGTCACGTTGATCCGTGGCGTTGGAATCCCCAGAACTATGCTTTGGCAAGCGTCAGGGTCTTCACACGGTTGCTTTCCAACGCGGAAGTTCCCTCAGTGGACATGAACTCTTGCATGGGGCCGCTGAAGAGGGAGCTAAGAGGGAGGGATTATTCCACAATCGTTGATGACTCTTGGGTTTGCACTGGTCCTCCTCCTCCTCCTCCTCCTCCTCCTCCTCCTCCCCCCGGCCTCCTCCTCTCCCCCTCCTCCTCCCCCCTCTCCTGCCTAACCTCCTCCCCCTCCTCCTCCTTCCACCCCCCCTCCCCCCCCTCCGCCTCCTCCCCCTCCTGCTCCTCCTCTCCCCTCCTCCTCCTCCTCCTCCCCCTCCTCCTCCTCCTCTCCCCCTCCCCCCTCCTCCTCCCCTCCTCCTCCCCCTCCTCCTCCTCCTCCTCCTCCTCCTCCTCCTCCTCCTCTCCTCCCCCCTCACTCCTCCTCCTCCTCCTCCTCCTCCTCCTCCTCCTCCTCCTCCTCCTTCTCCCTCCGCCTCCTCCCCCCTCCTCCCCCTCCCCCTCCTCCCCCTCCTCCTCCCCTCCTGCGCTTTCTCTCCCCTCCTTGCTCCGTCGTGCCCGTCGTGCCGGGCGCCTGCGCTGCCGCTTCTGGGGGCCGCCGGCCACGCCCGCGGCCGTCGCGCACGCGCACCCCATCGCCCGAGCGGCTGGCCTCTCGGCACCCGGGCGGGCGGGCCGAAGGAAAGAGCGCGGCGAGGGCGAGGGGCGCTTCGA